TATACATTATACAAATTTGTAACTACTCGTCACCCCCTGGGAGATAAACGTCATTATACCAAGAATCTGAGTAGAGGCGATTGACGTCTTCAGAAGCAGGACCCTCCCCATCGGGAGAGTCGGTGTAATACCCACAAGCTTCACGAGCAGTACGAGCCTCATTTCGTCGTGCCTGAACTTCCTCCTCTGTCGCCCGGCCCTCAGCATGAAGCTCTCTATACACGTCGAGTTTAGCCTCTGCAAAAATCGACATCTCATGCGTACTATGACGCGCACTCTGACCAGACGAGGGGCGAGATGAGGAAGGCCGAGAAAGTCTATTGATTTCTGCCATCCTAGCGTCGAGCTCGACGGTCAGATCCGCCACCCTCCGCTGCAGGTCGACGTTCTCCGCTGCCACCCCACGACTCAGTTCGAGCTCGTCATCTTTCACCTTAAGGAGCTCTCCAACTTGCTGTTACGGGCCACGGCCTTCATCAGCTCACTATCTGTCTCTTCCAGATCAACCCCCCTGTGCTCTAACTGGGCCTGCCTCTGTTCAAGCCCCTCGCGAAACACTTGGAACTCGGGGTCCTGCTGAATGGGGTCGACCACCGCTCGGTGCTTAGAGCGATATTTTCGATACTTCTTCAGCATCTTTTTGTAAAGGGCCGTGCTTTTTTGCTCACGGCGTCCCCTCTCCACCTCCAAAACGAGGGTCTAAAAAGAAAAGCAGAAATAAGCGCGCCTCAGGTCAGTCTTACAATACGCAGAAGAGAGAAAGGGGATAAAGATTACCTGTAATGCCATGCCAGCAACCCTTCGTGACAGCTCCGCATCTTTCACAGTACTGAGCGTCTTGCTCTCAGGGGCGGCACATAGCAGGGTAAGGGTCGAAGCAGCCTGCTCACTGTTCAGCAACAAGTTGTAAGCCCCCGGAATCATAATACGACGGTCAGACCCATTCGTCGTCATCTCCACATGGGTAAGACCACCCACAAACTCATCAATGTTCTCCTGGGCGATGTCAGAGTCCGACTTCTCATCTTCCTCGCCAGGTCCTTCGACGTTAGTCGATGACCCCCCCTCAACGGCACACACGGAACTAGTACCGGGAGCGACACTCCTCTGTTGAGCCGACCTCCCAGATAGAATGGCGTCGGTCATAAATGCAGGTCTGTGCGTCGTTAGAGGTGCCCCACTTCCGCCGACTTCGGTGGCCACCCCCTTGCCCTTCTCGAGCCTCCTCCGTTTTCTTTCTAACGATTACTCGCCATTGGAAGACTCGTCCACGGGTTGTAGGACCGGTGCCAACGATGCCGACTCCCCCATAACCATGGTCGCAGATGTAGCCCCGTGTAAAGGAGCTAGAGGGGAACCCTCTCGGACAGACTCGATTAATATATCATAAGCATCCGAGGCAACGTCGGATCGCTTGAGAGTAGGGACTGGCGCCCCTCTTCCTAGAAGCACCTCGTCCTGTTGCCATAAAAAGTAAGCAGGGTTGCAAAATTTACAAGATAAAAATTAGAAATCTACCTGAAGGGACTTTGGGGCCATAGCGTTGCATGAAGGCAGGCCACGTATGGGTCTCTTCCGCATGGGGAAGCAAGCCGGCAACCCATCTCCTGAGATTGGGGACGGGCTGGGGCGGACGAGCCATGGCTGCAATACAAAAGTTAGAATTGCAACAGTAACAAGTAACAAGGAACTTAACAAACTACAGTACTTACGTTTTGAATTCCACCTCTCTGGGAATCCGGCAGGGTTAGAGACCACATGCTCGGTTCTAATGAAGAAATATTTACGCCAGAATCCGCGACTCGCTCAGTCGTCGGTTTTGACCACCAACCCTTTCGTACCACGGTTTCTTAAATGCACCATGGTCCCTCTCAGATAACCAGCACTGAACAATTGTAAGAGGTGATGAATCGTGACCTCGCATCCGATCAACTCCGCATACTTGGTCAGTAGCCGAAGCACCTTCAGGGTATACGACGTAAGTTGAGCCGGACACACGTTATAGAATCGGCAAAACTCCTCTGCCAAAGGAAAAAGAGGAAGGCCATAACCAATCAAGGGGTATTCATAAAAGGCACAATACCCTGGCCTGTGAACATCTACGTGATCTCTCCCCGCTGGAACCGTCTCTATGTGGGCAGGTATGCCGTACTTCTTACGGAGATCATCTAAGTGATTCTGCAGCGACTCGGAAAGCATCGGAGTCGGAGTGGGAGAGTCCTTGCTGAAATCGCTTCGAGACGAAGGATGCTTTGGCAGTAGCGCTTCCACCGTAAGAGGACTGATGTCCTCTTCTTCCTCCACCTCTCCACCATCGGAAGGCGGCGGCACGTTCAATGGAGCGGCCGTCGGGATCCTCTCGTCGTTTCGGCGAGGTTTAGGCATGATTTCGGTTGAGAAAGAGTTGCACACAGCACAACGAAGAAGAACAAAATTTTCGATCGAAGGAAAAAGCACCAGAATGCGAAAATGTACACTGAAGGGTTGGAATACTCTTACAAATGGCCAAAGTTCGAGTCAGGTTAAATCTTTCCCCTATTTATAGGGTTGGGTGGCGCCAGAATCGAAGAGGCAGGCTTCGAGTTAGCGCAGGAAACCAAGCGCCAAAAGCATCTGATTTCGTGCCTCGAGAATACGCGCAATGATGACGCACGCTAACGCTGACGTCATACAGAAAAAGGCGTTTCGTTTCGACGCTCTGACAGTTATGATTACTGTCTCCTACCTGTCGCGTCACAATCCTTGACGAAGTCAAACTCTCCCTGAACGGAGGCATCGGTTCCGCCCATCAAGAACGCATCTCGCTGCGACCCCGACGAGCGGAGGGACTAACTGTATGGGGTCGAATTTGACCGATAGCGTCCCTAAGTCAGCACGACCAACCGCTGAACATATGTGAGCTCCGACAGAGGGACGACTTAGGAAGTAACGGGAGAAACGTCTTCATAACCTCGTCCCCTCTATAGAATGTACTTTGGTTTTACCTTTTAATATTTAAATAAGGATCCCCTACTATATAAAGGGGATCCGAGCTCTGTAAAAGGGGATTCATTTTTTGTGTGGATAATAAACTTCTCTCTTGCTCTCTCATCTCTCTAAAATTATCTCTTTCCCTCTCTCTCATATATAATATTGTTGCAAGAACGGATTATGTGTTTAACAACTTTTGAGTCAAACACTTTACATAAAGTACTAGTATCCCAATTATTTGACCAATATATTTGACAACAGAATCATGTGTATATTTTGGATTAGAAAAAGAAATCCACATAAAGCAATATACAAATAATTTCTTAGATACTTATACGTAAGTTATAGTAACAATCACATAGAAAATAAGATCTAGGAATCAGAGAGATCCTCTTTTGACAGTATATTAGTTATAGGGACTAGCACATTTTAATTTTTGTTTAGTTTGTCTACTTTTTTTCCAACATTTTATTTAGAGTAGAAAAATATGCATCCAACATTCAAAGGTGTAGCCTAGGTTAATGAGGTGGGCATGATGTTTATGGGAGATTAGAATTTAAATACTAGTAGAGACAAAATACGATTAAGTAATTTCTTCCTATTTGTTTTAGTATTAATGGATAGATTTATCCAACACATGTATTAATGGATATAATGAAATAATTTCATTAATCGATGCTCACATACAAAACATATATCTCTTCATTAGATGGTTTGACATAAATCAAGCAAACAAGATGCTTCTCTTCATATAGTTACTTAATTTAATTAGATGAGAATGCATGTAACTTACCCCCCAAGAGAGAAAATTTCGGTTCACACCGGATGTTTACACCAAACTATATTAACTCACTATAGTTAATTAATTTAATTAGATGAGAATGCATGTAACTTACCATGGTTAAATAATTGAAATCCATATGCAAGACACATGTCATATATCTATTTGTTTGGTGTAAACACCCGGTGCGGGTAAGTTTTTACCGTTTCGAAATATACCCCCAAGAGAGAAAATTTCAAGTACCTAGGGTCAATTATCCAGGGAGATGGGGAGATCGACGAGGATGTCATGCACCGTATTGGGGTGGGGTGGATAAAATGGCGGTTAGCGTCTGGAGTCCTGTGTGACAAAAAGGTGCCACCAAAACTCAAAGGTAAGTTCTACAAAGTGGTGGTTACACCGGCCATATTGTATGGGGCTGAGTGTTGGCCGGTCAAGAATTCACATATCAGAAGATGAAAATAGCCGAAATGAGGATGTTGAGATGGATGTGCGGGCATACTAGACTGGATAAGATAAGGAATGAAGATATTCGGGAGATGGTGGACGCTACTCCCGCGGACGACAAGATGCGGGAAGCGAGGCTTAGATGGCTCGGGTACGTGCAGAGGAGAACCATAGATGCCCCAGTTAGGATGTGCGAGCGATTGACTTTGGCAGGTACGAGAAGAGGTAGAGGGAGGCTTAAGAAGTATTGTGGTGAGGTGATCAGGCAGGACATGACACGACTTCAGATTTTTGAGGACATGGCTCTTGATAGGAACGCGTGGAGGTCGAGCATTAGGGTTGTAGGCTAGAGGTAGTCGAGTGTTTTTTCGTCTTAGTACTGGGTAGTCTGGTAGAGTTTTGTCGATGTCTGTTAGCGGTCGATGTTGTGTTCACACTATTTTGCATAGTATTGTGTTATTGCCCTTTCACTTATTTGTTGTCTCTTATAATACTGTTATTACTTTTCTAGCTTCTTTTGTTGTTACAGACCTTTTCTTTTGTATCTTTTCTGATATTATTGTCTCTTCTGTTGAGTCAAGGGTCTCCCGAAAATAGCCTTTCTACTCTTCCGGGGTAGGGGTAAGGTCTACATATACTCTTACCCTCCCCACACCCTACTAGTAGGATTTTACTGGGTATGATAATGTTGTTCTCGGAATATAACTTCACCTTAGAAAAAAACAAGACAATGAAATTTCATAAACCAATTTAGTATTCATGCATTACACATGCACTTTCTTCTTCTTATGTCGTTCTTTTCCTCTTGTCAAGCAAATGAAAATATAAAGCCAATATCTATGGTGCACCACTCAGAGTTTTTCTGAACCATTAACATGTACTAAAACCAAAAGTACAAAAAAAATCTGGAAAAATTTGTTGTATGCTTGGTTAAAAAAATCCGATCTTCAAATTCGCACACATATTGAACAGAAGCAATATAATCACAATCTCATAACCATTGGCAAGTCCAGATTCCACCTTAGTGAATTAGAGTTTCAAAGGCTTGAGCAATCTGGAAAAGAGGGGGAAAAATCAAGCACAACAACTGTTGTTTCTACCTAAATCTTGTTCTATTAACATAATGGACCGATAAATGTGTTTAGAGTGGGCATAGAAGTGTTATTAGTTTAATTTGCTCAAATATAGAAGGAGAATGTGGAAAGAGTATTACAGTATCACCAATATCAGCTGTCAATGTAACATAAACAGGAAAATAAACTAGGACATGACTAACCAGAAGTAAACCTCAACCAGTTGGCAAGAATAATGCAAACCCCCAGTCTTTGTTACATGGGCAACACTCAATCAGTATCACCAGCATTTTAGGAACATGAATCCCTTTATAAGGCAGAACACGAGTTGGGAACTCTGGAACCTGGCGTGAACAAGATCCCTTCTAGTCAATGGAAAAGCTGGTTGTCGTCCAACAGATAATGTCTGCAAATACATGAAAAAATCATTAAAGAAGGAATCGAAACAAATTAAAATACTTCTATCAAGGTGGACTATATTCACAAGAATGCTTATCAACTGTGCACTTGAATCGTTTTTTTTTTTCATCAAAGAAACAAAAGAGAAGTCTGACTTCATCCACTTTCCTTCAAAACATCCCATCTTTTTTAGGTATTCATGTGAAAACATCTGTTCACTCGACAAAAATTTACCAATTATACAAGTATTGTCTCTGTTTTCGTTGGGTATGAAGCATCCATGAATGCCAGATCTTGAGGAAACTGTAATGTTCTTTGTAGCGCTTCTTTTAACACACAATATCAAGAATCTGATCAGTATCTTAATTACAAGAAGCAATAAGCATAACAAAACACGACCAACCACAATATACCATAAAGCTATGATCCATGAGGAAGCATTAGAAGGAACAAATCGAATTCTATTTTGGAGAAAAGACAAAAGGATCAGGCCACTGCAATATACCAGAAAATATCTCGTATTTTTTGTGATCATCAACTGATATATAAAGAAGTGTATAGATAACAAATTTACAGCAACATACCTTGTATTCCAAAATGTGTAAGATGCTCCGGTTCCTCCGTCCACCTTGAATCCCAACTTCTCTCAGATACCTTCTTTATTGCTTTATCCACTTATTCCTATCAGCCAAACCATCAGTTATTTTTTCCATTCAAAACTAGAGAGACCGAGGCATAGTTGTTGTTGTATTCGAAACTAGGAAGGGAGCAAAGAGCTATGTCCCTACACGAACCATATTGACACAATGATCAACATATATGCAACTTTATGCAGCATCTCGATTTTGGGTGATAAAGTTCTCATGTTTAGAGCTTTATACAATAGTGGAGAGACTGAAACAAGATCTTACCAGAGCGCTTGCCAACAGTCTCTGATCAATTATTACAAAGCTTATGTACTGATTCAACGTAAACCATGTAAGAGAAGAAACACTGCATCAAATAAGTAGTATTCTAATAAAGTAATAATATAGATAAAACATCTTCAAAGCATATCAATCTCGAGAGTAAAATACATACGACAAGTTTCTACAACTCTTGAAGCAAACTCATAAAGCTTTTTGGAGTTTTAATCAATCCACACTCAGTTGCTCCATTGGCACAAAGCTTTTTGGAGTATAATCTCGAAACTTCTCCTTTCACAAATTTATCATCACCAAATAAGACATACCCCGTTTAATATCGTCATTTCATGACGACTTGCCTTATAAACAATTTATGTTACCCCTTTAACCTTTGAGGTCATGCCTTTTGTACACTTCGTACCTTGGCATGTCTTCTACTTATCCATTCCAGTGTCTTTATATTTAAGCCATGTATATCTTAACCCGGGAGAAGTAGTGACGAGGGGTCGACATGGACACTTAGTAGAGATCAAATAAAGTAGTATGATAAATCATCAACAGGTATGAAGCACAACAGTAGCAGTGAGGTAAAACTGTAACTAACATAATCTTTCAAAAAAAATTATCTCAACAGCTCGAAAAATGTCAAGTCCCAATCTCAAAATGGTAAGGAATACCATATAAAATGCCAGTTATCAGTGGAAGGATAATCTCATGAATATTCTGACTGCTAGCGATATAACGCACGATTATGCCGAGGTCGTACGAATTATAAAGTCAATTATTTATTCTAGAAAATAGAGTTCAAATATTACATGATAGAATCCTGAGTCTACCCGGACATAAACATGCTTTAGCTACATATGGACTCTCGTCACCTCGTGCGTACATAACAACCACAACTAGTAGCATAACCGAAGGTTTGACATGAGACTTACCTTGCTCCGAAGTTTCATAATCGGCTCAAATGCCTCTCTAACTCCTCGAGTCAAAGCCAACAATCCGAAACTAGTCAAACAACGTGCAAATCAATCAAAATATACTCCAATGAATACAATTTAACAATTTATAATGATTCTCAACTTTGTTCAAAAAGTCAACAAAGTCAACCCTCGGGCCCACGTGCCCGGATTTCAAAAATTCTTGAAGATAATCATTACTCATAACACCACGAACTCAAATATATACAATTTCTTCCTAATTCCATGTCCAATTTCATGGTAAAAATACCAAAATTCTAGGGGGTTTTCAAAGTCTCAAAATTTCCAGTAATTTTCATGTTCAAATCCATGTATAATTCATTTATTTAACTCACAATGAGAAGAAATCACTTACCTCCTGGTTGATGAGAAAAATGGTGCTCCAAAATCACTCCCAAAGTCGGCTCCCATGAAGAAATGGAGTGAAAAGTGCAAATATACTTCTTTATAATTTACAAAAGCAGAAGTTGCGTATGTGTCTGTAATTTACTTAATTTATAATAAACATTTCAATGTTTCATGTATGCAATTTTTTAATAAGTTTTACTTAAAATTTTTGTAGCTTCGCCAAACCATTATATAGATGATTACAAGGCATTTTGCTCCTTGATTGATGGCGTTATTCAGAGAAATTCAAATCCACAACTCCTACCTCACATTTCAAAATTTTCTGATACGGTGTACATGATTTGGCAAAACAGACTCAAAGTTGTTTAAGTAAGTCTACTAAGATTTACCGTGGTGCATATAGTCAAAGGTTGTTTATGTTGTATATTTTTTTTTTTCTTTTCGGAGAATGGATGGAGTTGATTCAGAATTCACCCCTTTTTTGGAGCGACACCAAAAATGGTGTTTTCATCGGTACGTTGGCAACATTGATGAAAAGAGAAAAATATTTGCTTGAGGTCTGGAAGATTATTTTGGTGGATGGGAAGTTGCTATTGTTGGAAAGGCCAAATTTGTTGAGTGCTTTAACTTTGAAAAGGGAGCCCTTGATCCTCAGAACTGGTACAGTAGTGCCAGCAGGGTTATTATATTTGGAAGGAATTTTAGAGCCCATTACGATTTTGCTAGTGATGTGAATTTGGAGAGTCAACTCCCTAATCTTGTTGCTAGTACGTATTATGAGTTGGTAATTGGAAGAGGAGCGTACAAGAATGAAAGCTTCCCATTTAATCCAATTCATGAGACCGATAACGGTTCCATAACGTGTGATTTTAAACTTACTTTTTAGGATATTAATTTTGTATGGCTCTAAACTTACAATTTTATTTCTAGGGTCATGAAATATGTTAAGAAGACATTGGTAGGTTTTACATATTCACTCTTTTAATTCTCCGCACCATATTATGCTCACACTAATTGATTTTCTTGCAACAGGATTATATTGTGTAGATAGACTACACAAAGTCTTTTTTTGGGAATTGCCATAGCAGATCCGGCCCAAGGTGTGGACAAGTATGAGGTATATTTCAACTTCCATGATGTTTGAGCTAAGGTGTTCGTAGAATTTTAATATGTGCCTCTTTATAGCATCTAAGTTGTACTAGCTTTCCTGTTATTTCCCGTCTATTTATGTGATTGTTTCTCTTGTGTGCATCGACCATTTCGCTCGTCGAAGCCATAATAGCTTGATTTTCGCCCTCCAAGATGCTACTTAAACTTTGCAGTATCTTTTAGCTCATGTAAGAGAATTTTCACAATCCTAACTTAATAAACTTAACTAGACATATTAAGGAAGGAAAGTACAAAAAGAAATGAAAATCCAAATATGTCTAGCTAAAATATGTAAGAGATACTTCTGTTGAAATAATAATAGAATACATTTTTTTGTAATTTAAACTAAGATATTACTAAATATATTTATATTAATTATTATTTCAAATAGTATCATTTACTTTTGAATCATATTACATTTTTATTTGTATGTATCACCGACTATATATTGAGGTATACGGTTTGAGTTTGTGCCAATAGTTATTCATATGATTTTTTAAATTTATAAAGTTTAGCACAGTCACAAAATTATCCGCACATCGTACGGGTATAAATACTAGTTTACCACTACAACTGCAATCTTTTTGTACTTTCCTTCATTAATATGTCTAGCTAAGTTTATTAAGCTAAGATTGTGAAAATTATCTTACATGAGCCAAAAGATAATGCAAAGTTTAAATAGCATCTTGGAATGCAAAAATCAAGCTATTATGGTTTCAACGAGGGAAATGGTCGATGCACCCGAGAGAAACAATCACATAAATAGATGGGAAATAAAAGGAAAACTAGTACAACTTAGAGGCTATAAAGAGGCACATATTAAAATTCAACGAACACCTTAGCTCAAGCATCATGGAAGTTGGAATATACCTCAAACTTGTCCACGCTTTGGGTCGGATCTGCTACGGCAATTCCCAAAAAAAAGATTTTGTGTAGTCTATCTATAAAATATAATCATGTTGCAAGAAAATTAATTAGTGTGAGCATAATGTGGGGGGAAAAACTACAAAAGTGAATATGTAAAACCTACCAATGTCTTCTTAACATGTTTCATGACCCTGAAAATAAAATTATAAGTTTAGAGTCATATAAAATTAATACCCTAAAAATTAAAAATTTTAAAATCATACGTTATGGAACTCTTATCGGTCTCATCCATTGGATGAATTGGATAAAACGGGAAGCGTTCATTCTTGTATGCTCCTCTTCCAACTACCAACTCATAATACATACCAACAACAAGATTAGGGAATCGTGTCTCCAATTCCAAATGCACATCACTAGCAAAACCGTAATAGGTTCTAAAATTCCTTCCAAATATAATAACCCCGCTGGTACTATTGTACTAGCTCTGAGGATCAAGAGCTCTCTTTACAAAGTTAAAGCACTCAACAAATTTGGCCTTTCCACTGGTAGCAGCCTTCCATCCACCAAAATAATCTTCCAGATTGAAGCGCAACCATCAACCAAATACTTATATTTTTTCATCACTGTTGCCAACGTATCGACTAAGACACCCTTTTTGTCCCTACACTTGATTTTTTGTCAAACTTAACCGTGGCATTCCAACAGTTTTCGGCAATCTCGTCCTTGGAGATTTTGAACTCATTACTTCCAAAACCAAGATCCGAATTCTTGAGAATCGATTCAGAACTGCAAACAGAGGAAAAAAAATTAGTGTGCCCACATTCAAAAGTAACGACGAAACTAGGTATGGGCAATTTTTATGTGCATTATTCTCTAAAGATTATGAAAAATCCTATGTAAATTCCAATAGCAGGTTTCAACGCTATGTAAAATTGTTTCTTAAATATGTAACCAACAAACCATTTTTGATAAGTAATGGTAAAAGTAAGCATTAAGAAGACCAAAAAATAGTATTCTTAAAATTTAAAGCGAGCAGTAAAGTTAGCAAACACCAATCAGAGGATTACTAAAAAACAAATAAAGAATATAAAAAAGATTACTAAAAAACTGTCTTTACCTAAAAACTCAGTTACAATAATTCTTGCATCCAAAAATGCAATTAACAAATAATCATCAATCAACTATGCATAATTCTACACTAGTTGAGATCGCCTATACGAATCATCTGTAACTATTTCCCTCTATTCTGTCCCGATTTCATGCCAATACTAAGTGATAGGAATAAACAAAGTAGAGCGGAGAGAACTTTTAATTAATTTTTAGTTAAATTTATTTAGTGTAGCACGAAAACAGCTATTTAAAACCCGATAAAACCAAGAAATCAAGCGGTGGAAGAAAAAATCAACTCTAGTTAGGAAAAACCAAAAACTATGCTAAAAAATACAGAGATCATTTGAAGATAAAGAAAAAGGAGAATTAATAGAAAGGTGTTTACCGGTCGACTTCCAACGGGAACAACTCTGCCCACTTCTTCGCCATCGGAAAAAATGAGAGAAAATAGGAAAGTCAGCTGAAAGGTTTAGGAATGGTTGGGTTTTAGGATTTTTCTTTTAGTACCAGTATTGGTCCCTGTGATATTCCATGTCCTACTTTTAACCTTTAATTAAACATCGTTAGTGATTTTAGTTCTTTTTACTCACGGTAGTTAACGGCGCAAATATTTCATTCACGAAACTTTTTATTACTTGATATGTAAATTGCAGTTGTAATGGTAAACTTGTATTTATACCCGCACAATATGTGGATAATTTTGTTACTATGCTAAATTTTATAAATATAAAAAATCATAGAATAACTATTGGCACAAACCCAAACAGTATACCTCTACATATAGTCGGTGATACATACAAATAAAAATATAATATGATTCAAAAATAAATGATACTATATGAAATAATAATTAATAAAAATATATTTAGTACTATCTTAATTTAAATTACAAAAAATTGTATTCTATTATTATTTCGACAGAAGTACGTGTTACAACTTCAATTTATGTCAACCTAAAGTTACACAATCTATGACATTCACTATTTTCATGTTGAAAGACAAACTAATATGTACATACTTGATGATTTACTGACAACCAACCTATTCTCACTTTTGGGAGTTAACAACATATAGACCAATTTCATCAGAATTTGTTCAATAATTTTGATATCACTTCAACTTTAACCATACAATTAAAGTCAATTTGCTTTTAAAAATTTAAATGACATCTTTGGGATATTCTCACTTTTGGGAGTTAACAACATATAGACCAATTTCATCAGAATTTGTTCAATAATTTTGATATCACTTCAACTTTAACCATACAATTAAAGTCAATTTGCTTTTAAAAATTTAAATGACATCTTTGGGATGTACTGGTCTATTCAGATCACTATTTGTAAGTAAGAATATTCAATAAAACTTTTCAACGTTATAAATTTTAATATTATTTTGTAACCATTGACACTTTTTCATTAAATAAACTTTTATCTTATTTTTAGTATATCTATTTTACCATGCATATGTCCCAAAAGATCATGAGTTCTTACAGCTTGACTGGTAATTTTTAATTAAATTAACTTACCTTTCACTTTGGTAATCGCTTTACTTTGTGGTAAGTAGCAAATCCAAATACTGTAATTATATTTCTTTATATTTTCACAATGTTCAAATCTATTTTATTCTAATTTACATGCACGTATATATCGACTGCAACAACTGCTCAATCAATTAGTTTAAAGAGTTTGTGAGAATATAAATATCAACAACAAACTATAAAGTCATAGTCCATACCCGAGCTTTTAGAGAAAAATTCATGCTCCCCATTTCTATCTAACTTAAAATAGACATTTTTAGTATTAATAAAAAAAAATTAAAACTCGACGTATTGCTTTCAAAAAACTAGATATAAGATGAGCAATAAAATATTGGATAATTAGTTTCATGTACGGTATCATTTAATTCAGTTAATGTCTAAGTAGCTTCATACTTAAAAAATATAATGTTATCCCCACAAAATTTATTGTTGTATATCTTGACATCGGTTCCTCCTCTTTTTTGTACATTCATGATTGAGTTAACTCCCTTATAACATTACTATAGCTGCACTAAATTGATAGAATCAAACCGCATTGTCACGATCCGGATTTTCTACCCTCCGGAGTCGTGATGGCGCCTACTCGTGAAAGCTAAGCAAGCCAAATATTATAAAATCATTACCTTCTTTTTATTAAACATGTTCAACAATTTAAAATAATAAGTGATTAAACAACGGAATAAATTAAATAACTAGAAATGCGGAAGACGAGAACTTAATAATTCAACCAAAACACTGCTACATGATTTGAAGTACAATCTACCGAGAATTTGGTGTCACAAGTCACGGACTATCTAAGAGTACTACAAATAAGGTCTGAATGAAAATACATAAGTCTGTCTCGGAATAAGTAAAAATAGAAAGAGAAAAGATAGGAGGAGACGCCAAGGCCCGCGGACGTTTGCAGAGTGTAGTATCAACACAATCGACCCCATGTGTTGGTAAGTGCCTAGCCTAACCTCGGCGAAGTAGTGACGAGGCTAGGACCAGACTACCAAATAAACCTGTGCAGTTACATCATATACAGCAGAAATAGAAGCAGATAATTACAACTAAAGTTGGGCAGGAGAAACATGCTGCGGGGAGTAACAGGTAACAACAGAATAATAGTAGAGAAATCTAAGGAACGCCATAAACTAAATACCAGCAAAAGATAAGAAAATAAGAAACAAGTACACATGTAATACCGTTGCAGGCGTGCAACCTGCTCCAATTTCATATATTTCCGTTGCAGGCATGCAACCCGCTCCCATTTCATATGTTACCGTTGCAGGCGTGCAACCCACTCCCATTTCATATGTTACCGTTGCAGGCGTGCAACCCATTCCCATTTCATATAGTACCGTTGCAGGCATGCAACCCGCTCCCTTTTCATTTAGTACCGTTACAGGCGTGCAACCCGCTCCCTTTTCATTTAGTACCGTTGCAGGCGTGCAACTCGCTCCCTTTTTATTTATCAATACTAATCATAAAAGAATCCCGGCAAGGAAACAATAATATAACAACAACATCCCGGCAAGGGAACAATACTATAACAACAACATCCCGGCAAGGGAATAATAATATGGCAATAACATTCTGGCAAGGGAACAATATTAATAATCCTTATATGAAGCACAATAAACCACAACAGAGTCACAACAATTACAATACAAGACTCACGGGCATGCTTGACACCGACGTATAGATACTCGTCACCATGCCTATACGTCGTACTCTACAATTAGCACATAGCAAATAAGACACAACTCATAATCCCTCAAACTAAGGATAGACCAAAGACTTACCTCGATGCGACGAACACAATTCAAGCCTCAACTACCGCTTTACCTCTTGATTCCACCGCCAATTCACTTGTATCTAGCCACAAGTTACTTAACTATATCAATAAATGCTAAATGAACCAATTCCAATGCATGAAAATAGGTTTTCTAAATTTTTTCCTAAAAAGTCAAAAATCGACCCTGGGCCCACATGGTCGAAACCCGAGGTTCGAACTAAAACCCGATTACTCATTCCCCCACGAACCCAAATATATAATTTGTTTTGAAATCAGACCTCAAATCGAGGTCCAAATCCCCAAAATTTGAACCCAAAACACCCAATTTCCCCCATGAAAACCTTTGATTTTGAGTTGAAATCATGAGAAAAGATGTTAAAGATTGATGAAACCAAGTTAGAAAAGTATTATGTGAATTCTGGCCTCAAACGTAAAAGTAGATAGGCCCAGCCAATAAATAGCCATAACTGGGCCCACCTAATATAAGCCCAATGTGGGCAGACTTGGTTTAAGATCAGATGTAACGATGGCCTTTGGGTTCCTCGTTTCTGGGCTAAATTCCAAGCCCAATGCGCCTTCAGACATTGAATGCTCCCCAACTAAATAACCTATTGGGCTACTATTGGCCCAATTCCCCTTATCCAAAAGGATTAAAGAACCAATACTTATACCCCAAAGCATGTACATAATTATCAACTTGTTATTGAATTTCAAATTAGATTTAAATAGGAGCATCCTTAATGAGATACAAGCCTTTTAAAATAATAATTCGAGGTGTGCCATACACAAATAAAGTCCATAAGCTATGTCCCTCACTTTAATATTAACTTAGTGTTAAAATAACCTTGAACTTTCGTAGTTTGCTTTAGGCATGTTAATTAAATAATTGTCATAGCTACGGGTACGGTTCTCTTGACGTAGTTTTGACGCTTAATTTTTAAAATCCGGGGGGTACATTTATGTGACTCGACCACAATTTAATCTTGTTAATAAATTAAACACGTTGTGGATCGTGGGTACGGTTCCCGTGACATGATTCGCAACGCGTAATCAAATAATTAATTGTATAACAATTGGATTACTAAAAGCGGTTATAAAGTTAAAAATGCACAATAGGTTTAAAACATGTAGTAAATTAGATAATAGGCAATTTATCAATAGTTTAAGCGACCGTGCTAGAACCACGGAACCCAGGAGTGCCTAACACCTTCTCCCGGGTTAATAGAATTCCTTATCTAGAATTTTTGGTTCGCAGACTTATAAAGTAAAGTCGTAATTTCCTCGATTTGGGATTTTAAAATAAACCGGTGACTTGGGACACCAAATAAACTATTCCAAGTGGCGACTCTGATAAATTAATTAATTCCATTTCGAATAATGTCACTTTAATTGGAAAAACTCCCATATATCCTCGGGTGGTAAAAAAGTAGGTGTGACAAGGTTTATGTCTTAGACGCATGCTTAGGGGTGTTTGATAGGTAGGACTCGGGCACCCGTCGCGACCCATCGGTTTGGGTTGTGACAAAAGTGGTATCAGAGCAGTTCAGTCCTAGGGTTGTCTACAGACGTGTCTAGTAGAGTCTTGTTTATGGGTGTGTTGTGCACCACACTTATAAATAAGAGGCTACAGGACATATAGGATGTTATCCTCTCTTCTTATCTTAGATCGTGCAATATAAGAAATTCATGTTCCTAATGATATGTTATATTTTCAGCAATGCCTCCAAAGACTACAGCCGCCCAGAAGGGAAAGTCCGTGGCTGGTAAGACTACTAGTCGAGCGCCACGAGTTACCAGGGCTCGGGGAGAGTCTTATAGTGAGGTTCCATCTCAGACTTCACATACCCCGCCCTTTCTAGAAGAGCTCCGAGGGGCACCAGCTCCAGCGCCCGCCCCTGTACATTCAGCACCTCAGCCAGATACACCGGGTCAGAAGATGAGAGATGTTATTCAGCTATTAACCTGATTAGTAGCCGCGCAGGCTCGACATCAGGAAATAGGTATTGGTCATGCAGATAGGTCCGTTAGTGCGAGGGTTCGTGACTTCATTAATTTAGACCCTCCGGTATTTATTGGGGCAGATCCAAACGAGGACCCTCAGGTATTTATTGATAGAGTGTGGAGGACGTTACGAGTAATGAAGGTCAGTGCGACTGAGTCAGTTGAGCTAGCTTCCTATAG